CCTTGCCAGAAGCAGAGCTGAGCCAGGTGAGGAAGAGGAGGAGGAAGAGGTGCCTACCTTGGGGGCTGGGGCAGTAGGCGAACTGTGGCCCGTGCACAACCCTTCCTCCTCGCACCGGGCAGCGACCGGGCAGGACCGGGCTCTCTGTCCGGTAGGGCAGCATCGCTCCTGCTGAGGCTGAGCAGAGGTGGCCGCGTGTCACCACAGCTGTGCTGCACCAACTGCCACGTCCCCCCAAATCCCTGCAGTGCTGGCACCACTGAGGAGCACCATCCCATCATCTGTTGGTCCCCTGGGCCACCTGCTGCCGCTGTGCCACCCCAGCGAGCTCCCAAAGGGCAGGCAGGGCAGGCAGGAAGGGGACTCCTCCCGCCCAGGGCTCAGCTCACCTGGGGCTGGCCAGGCACTCAGGACAGTGCCACTTCCACATGCCACATCCGCGCGTCCGTCCAGCGAAGTGGCCCTTTATACACAGGCCAAGAGCAAAGTCTAAGGAGCCCCGTGTTGCCCCTCGCCTCCGCTCGCTGCTCACCTCCTCCCCAGAAATTCCTGCAGTTAATGGGTAACCCCCACACATCCCACGTCAGCCGTGGCCCCGGCAGGATGGGGCACGTGCTCCCAGGGTACCGCGGTCCCGGCACTCCCCGCCTCGCCTGCCCGGGGTCTGGGAGAGCCACAGTGATGGGCAAAGGCAGGGCACTGCTGGAGCCCAGTGCCCAAGAGGTGATGCTGGAGGAGCCTCAGCTCTCCATTGTTTGGTGCCTTTGGTTTATCCACTGCATGAGAGGAAGAGGAGGAGGAAGAGAAGGGCTTGCTGCTGGTGCTGCTGGGGCATCCATCACAAATCAGAGGTGAGGCCGTGCACACACATCCAGCACCTTCAGTGCCATCGCAGCATCAGCCATGAGGGACCCAGCTCTGCCCAGGGCAAAATGTCCTCATTCCCAGGGCAGTGGAGAGGGGTGATCCCTGTGTCCTGCCACTGGTGGTGATGGCGGCACGCAGCTGGGCTCTGCCTGTGCCAGTGGCTCAGTGTGGGG